AACATAAATCTGTTCACTTTTGCGGCTTTTTGTCAGGGGCGTATTACGTATTCTTGTCGCTTACAATTGCCCGACAGATAGTTAATGCGAGTACCTCCTCGAATGACAGAGTAAATCGTCTCCCGCGCCCCAATTGATACAATGTCAAGGTCGTTCGTTAATAATGGAAAACAATTGTGTTGGGGAAGCGAGCGGGGGTTATGCATTACTCGCAATATGTTGCTTTGTTATTTGAAATATACACAACACAAATCTAATAAACACAATATGAGGTAAACAAGCAAACACCCTTTACATAGAAACGGAAGTGTATACTTACATCGTTTGAGAAAATAAACTGCGCAGTTTATACTTACCTTTATATTGGTTTCCACCGAGTTAAGGTATGTCAGGTATGTTACTACAAAAAGGTTTTGATTGTGTTTTATACTGTTTATAGTATATGGTCATTTACGGATCTGCCTCATGTGTGTCATATGTATGCACGCATGTGTGTTGGATGCATGATATGTTGGTGTAATTGCGACCTCCTTAAGCTTGAGATAGCGCAGATCTGATACCGACTTTAAAGTGCTATCTCGCTGAAACACTCTACAGAAAGGTGAACGAATGTATGTCATTAGCCTAAAACACAATGTTTAGAAGCGAAAAACAATAAGAATGTTTTAAGCTGTTTGGTATGTCCGGGCATGAAACCTATTGCCTTCCTCACCTTGCTGAACGTTCGATGAAAACCTCAAGTAAAGTATTGAAAGAAAGCATAGAAAGTAGAGAGAAATATAAGATACCCAATATTGCCATGGGTGCAGATTTACTTTTGTCCCTTTGAGTCACAAACAAAAACACAAACGCAAATTCAGACTTATTTTGGCAAATATCTTTTGCATTCGTCCTTAAACGAAAAACGACATTGCTTATTCAAAGTCAAACTTTACCATATCTACTTCATTTCGCTTTCGGTAGGAAATAAGCGGCATATCTATTCTTGGTTTCTTCGATGTCACCTTAACAGGCGAAAAGGAAGAAACCAACCCCGATTCTGAAGAGGGGAGCATCAGTCGCCTCTTACGATCATGCAGTGAGCTATAACAAGGCTATTTGTTTCCTGTATCGGTACGGGTTTAACCTTTTGTCAATTTCAACAATAATATTGTAATTATAAACAACAGAGATATTTTTAACGTTTCAGAAACTTTTACGACAAGTAATTACGATGCAGAACTATTTATTCGAGTTAAATATTCTTTCTTACATAAAAAGAAATATATGTATTTCACTTTACCACATCCATTGACAGGTAATCAACTTTCATATCGACCCCCTGGACCTTGTATGAAATGTAACACTGTTAATATACATAAATATTTTATATGGATTTCATCTGTAGCTACTTAAAATATTTCACAATAGAGCTAATGGAAGTAATATGTTTAAATGCGATTGTAATTTTAAATTGACAGACAAATAAAGATTTGATTTATACCAGAAATATCCCGAGTCAACATGATTATTTATACCTAATTGCTGAGAAAAGCAATGGGTTCTGCCTGCAAGTTGATCATACCATGTTCTTAAAAATGGTAATTGCTATTCTAAGCTTAACGTTTACGATAAGGGTAATTACAATAAGTGGTTGACCCGTTGCCAGTATAATGTGACCTGGCGGAATGTTGTTTTGGGTGATTTAGTATGGTATTTCAGTGGGGCAACACTATAAAATCGGCATTAGAACAACTCTAATGCAAGGATGCCAGTATACCAAAATACCCTGCCTCTAGCATACATACACATCCACATATATATTACGCACATGGAGATATGACCTGAAGTGACATTATATTGAGGAGAGAGCTTTTATAATTGGCATAATCCTCTTACTTGAATTTAGAAGCAGTACAATATACTTAAACAAACAAAAAGTGACATTATCTGTTAATAGGATAGATATTAAGCTCTATAAAACCTATACATGTACGTTTTAAGCATAGGCTGATTTCCAAACGTTAAATTGCATTATAGTGGTAGTATAGGCACTCCAGGAAAGAATGACAAGAAACAGTACAAGGTTTCTGCACATTATTCGATGCGTTTGCAATACTTTCCATAACCACAAAGAGGTTCCCCAACGAGTGGTAGTTAGTTACCATGTTTATCAAGTTAACCTTTTAATATGAAATGGCATGAGAATGGCCAGGATAAATTTCGTAACCATCTTTCACAAATTCCACTACGACTTTATATATCTTGATATCAACATGTTTCTCTCAGAACATGTTTTTTTTTTCGAGTTCCCCGACTGGGATCAATTGCTGTAAATCATGATGTCACTATTGAAGAGGCCGCACAAGCAATATTACGTGACGTAATTAATTAAAGCATTGACTAATGAAAACATGTTCACGAAACGTACTCTTCTCTGTTTATTTAGTGTTCCAGAAGAGAGAAAAACTATAGCGGCAATGGTAGAAATGCAGTTTAATACTTCGGTGCTGTGATTGATATAATCAAGTATCCAAACATTAATCAAGACGTTTGAGAACGCCTTATAATATCACGACCACGGAAGACAAATAAAACAATGGCGATTGTGAAAGCATTCTGGCACGTGACACTAAATAATATTCGTTTTAAAACAATGATTGTTTTTAATTCAAATATCAAAACAATTACTAAACATTTTTACCGAAAAAACAACGCAACAAATACAGAAGAAGGGAACGATAACATCCACGATGTCATACATTAAATATATAGAAATTCAACGTGGGCGTCTCTCATTTATCCTGATGCGTGTAGTGCTATGAAGACTGTCGAAAAGTGATTTACAATGTTTTATTGTATCGCAGAAATCGAATGCCCATGTAAAATGTATGAAATGTTATTCCTTTGTCATAAATGTTCTACGTAGGTAGGTGTATAGGTTCTAATTAAGCAAACAAGCTTACAAATTATTTCCCATGTGAAATAGGTATAATAAACAGTCTGAACTAATTTCCAATATGAGTAAATAGAGACGTCCCACACGCATGCAGTATGCCGTAGAGTCCAATAAGATATACACCAAACACCTGTAATTGCGACTATAAATTATATATTATACAATGCTAAAGGGAATTAGCAAATCTCCTTATGGTAACCATCATTCTTTGTTGATCATAATTACTCTTATCCGCGAGAGATTTATCTTTTGTTTAAACACGTTTGAATATACTTTTTGTGCGCCATTAAGCTTTTTATGTCGATTACATATTTATATTTATTGAATGCGTTCTGCGACAAGCTCCACCGCAATCCATATCGTTATCATTTAGTTACATTGCACGCTATGATTTCAACTCGAATTGTGGGTGGAAGGGTGGAAAACTTTGGCTATAGAGTATTCATGTGTTATTCCATTATTAAGACACCTACATTCGAGCGAGCATCGGGCTAGCAAGATGCAAGAGTGATAGATATGGGTTTATAACTTTCATAGGGTTTTTTATTATTTTATGCTATTACTAACAATATTCTGCTCTAGTATCAATTTCAATGCTTTTAATGACACTCTTTGGCTACAACGTTGAACCCTTTGTCTCCCGTTAGCGGGAATCATTTGTCATACATATGCTGTCAGACTAAGATAGAATTTTGTTTTGTTCAGGTTTAGAATTAAGACTCATGAGCTCCCCTTATCTACTAAAGACACCACCATTATTGCATAAGGATATTTAATTGATAATAAGCAAGAACACAGAAACCATTTTTAACCGATAACGCAATAGATCATTTATACTAAAACAACGCGATAACATGTTATTAGAATATTCAGTTAACATATGTTACATATTTCATATACTTTTGGTGGTTTAAACCCTAGAAGTTGTGATGTAAGCAAGTATTCGTTGTCATAAAGAGTTATTTTCCAAGAAGTGTATATTAACGACAGGACATTCGATATATTTTGTTTTTAAGTGAATGTTTTAACATAATGTTTAGATATAACTAATGCTATTTCAGCATTGTAAAGCAACGGTGTTTAGTTCATCAACAGTGAAGACGCAATTTACACCTCCGACACGACTATTGTAAGATAAAGAACAATATTTGCCATCACCGCTATGTTTTATAGCATCAACCGGTTACATTTACGGTAGAGTTTCACGAATTTATGAAGCTCACAAGGATACGTTTTTATAAATATGTCTTTTGAAAAAGGAAACTTAAAATGAACTTGAAAATACGACAAAGTGTTTTTTCTAATGATAACGGTCATATTCAATGCTTTTATTAGAAAACACAACAAATAAATCCATTATGACCGAGAACTATCTTCTATTTCGGAAATGCTGCAACATGCGTAAAGTTCTGACTGCTTTCGACAAGTTTTTTTTATTTGCATATGGTTGATTGAATTGAAACTACGGGATGGGGCATGTTAACCAAGTCTATATAGTTTCCTCTTATATTTTTTCGAAACAGTTGATGCATTACAACTTTCTTAACTCTAATTAGCAATCATACATGAACACTTTTAGGTTAATCTTATTGTCGTGCATTTGTTGGTGGCTTTCTGGACAGTTTTAAAACGAACATACAAAAAGCATGTTTCTATTGTTTTCCTTATCTGTGTCTTCAAAATTCGATACATTATTATTTTTTTAACACAACCTAAAAAACAAACGTACAAAAAAGCGTCATATTTTCTTGCGTAAATGTAGGTGGTTAAATGGGATGAACCATCATGTTTTCACTTGTGCGTTGATAAGTCAGTGTCTAAGGCGATTTTTGTTAAAATTTGCACTTAAGGTATTAGTACACGTTTTGGTTACTACAAATTTAGAAAATAATTAAATTGTGATTCTTTAGTGTACTTTTAAAACGGAATAGAAAGAAACGTTTTATAGCAATTCGTTGATTGAGTGAGTTGCAGCTTGCGTCATTCTAGTAAGAGAAATGTAAGAATAACTACTCGTTACTTCCTTTGTGGAGAGAGAACATAAATTACAAGCAAGACCTACCTTTAAAGTCAGATTAACAAACTTTCCTGTCCCGCAGTTCCTTTTCTTTGGTTGTTCAACAGAATTGTTTTCCCAGTTTGTGGATAACAGACGGTGTTCGTGAGAGACTAAGTACCCGTGAATGTGTTCACGAATTTGTCGAGTACTATTGCCTTGATTCGATAACTATATGAGTAAAGTTACTTCATTGATCTCTCTGCAAGCCACTGTACGACAACTCGCGCTCCTTATATATAGATACACCGTAACGGAGTCGGTGGGATGGTGGGAAGGCGTCCGTCATAAATCGATATCCTAACAACTATATCTGACGGTTCTGGATTGCTCCTATCAGCGGTGTTGGCGAACCAATCGTCATGCTAGGGTCACAGCATCTTAATGTCATATTGTTGAGACGAATCCAATTAGATACGCTTGGGCTGTTCTGTGGACGTTATAAATGAGTACCCTGAGAGGCGGACTGACAGGCCGAGGACGAGAGTAATTGCTATCCCGGGATATGTCTTGATAGGTAGAAGGTACAACGGCGTTTCCGTATAGACTTGGCTCTTTAAATCATTGCCACATTAAAGGCAAAACTATGATGGCAAAACAGCACTTTCGCTAATACACTAATGGTTCACACTTACTGAGCAAGCAGACAGTAATAAAAACGACCCTTACGTACATCTTTAAATACAGCGTAAGACCATAACAATATCTGTTATGTCACAATATATGAATTAACGCGATAAACAATTTGTCCAATATTCTACAGCATACACAGAACCGAAATCGAGCGTGTAACGACACATATGCTATGCATCAAACTATATAATATTCCGAATTTATTTTCAAAATGTATAGGTTGTGCTTGCAAAAACATGAAATGACTCTATTACGCGTTTAGTTTTTAATTTATACATATAGTTCGTGTGTCGCTGTCACACAAAATAAAGGGATGTTTTAAAAAGTTCGAATAGATCGAATAGGATGTGGGTGATAAAATTCTCATGTTATAATAGGAAAATAAAATATTCATAAAATAAACATTTCACGTGCATTATGTAAGAGCACATTTCAATATGGTCATTTACATTCATATATACCCCATACATAAGCGAATACACATGTCATGATCAAAACAATGTCTATGTATAGACTTTATAATAATGCACTGTGAGACCCACATACTCATTTAAGTTCATTTCAGTCAACTCGATTCGATTCAGCTGAAACATATGTAAAAACCGAAAGTATGCAGGCATTATATTGGCCTTTAAAACGGTTGTCACAGCTCTCTGCTTGACAATGAATGTATAGCGGTAAGGACAGATTAACTCGTTGTCAGCATATTGTAACCAGGAGGAGTGTAGTGCAACTGCGCCCAGGTAATGGCATTTTTGCGAGACGGAACTTTAAAGTGAATATAAGTAGGCTCATCATCAGCTGAAATAGTCTTCATCTAACTTTGGCTGTTGCCATGACGTAAACCCCCTAAAAACACAGCAATTGTCACTTCCTGATATTTTAGTCGTACTCATATGCTATTAAATAGAACCATGCATGAAATGTGCGTGTTCTACATCTACTTGAAATGTGTCTATACCACAAAATTTGAATTTTTAAACACTTTTTTAATATTTTACCATTCAGTAACCTTTTAATGTATTACGTTTTTTCCCCTTATTATTGTGGAAAGGCCCGATGTGACTTTGATCTTGCTGGGCATCACACTTTCTATACAATGTCCCCAGGACGGGACATTCTAAAGTCCTAAAAAAATGGTAGTTGTTAATCCCTGCTTAAAGTTCAGCGTTTACGTGAATGACAACAACTAGCTCATCCGTTGTCAGTATAACGTGACTGGGCGGAATGCTTTGCTGGGTGACTTCGGGATGGTGTTTCAGTGAGGTAGCACTATAAAGTCGGCATCAGATCCGCGCTATTACAAGGAGGCAAGCACAACAACATACCCTGTCTCTGGCACACACACGAGCAAGCAGGCATACAAAAAATACATGAAGGCACGTCCTTAAATGACCTAAGGTATTAATAGGACGTTAAACAAACCAAACCAAACAACGCTAAAATTCACTCCAAAGCACAAAAAGGCTATTCCGGCCTCATAAGTGTACTACGAAGCGCTGCCAAATTAAGAAAATAAAACAGAAATATGACAGACATATCATTTGGGATATCAAACTATTTTGTTTTCTCTCTTTCCCACTCTTCTGTCCTTTCAGCGGTGTTTCTTTGGGCAACCGACTTCAAATGACCTTAGCTGTTGTTACGACAAAAGCTGTAACGAGGTCGAATAAACCGCATAAAAACAAGCAAAAGTCCATATTCTGACTTATCTAATATTTTGACACGCGTTGTATTCTTTCATCGATATTCTGACAGCTAAACGACTACAAGTTCATATTGTTGTTGTTGATCGTTCTATTAACAGGTAAGGTAATTTAATAACGTACCTACATGTGTGTTGTGTTAGCGTTCATGTATGTATGTGTGCTGGAGACGGTATGTTGGTGTATCTGCCTCCTTGTGATAGCGCAGATATGATGCCGACTTTATAGTACAGATTCATAGATACACGCTTAGTTTCCGATTGCTATCCTCGTTACTATGAAAATATGTATGAGAGATCGACAAATATATTTTGGAAAAAAAATAACCCAAACAAATAAAACACATTAGGATATCCTTAAGGTATTTTCTATGATATACGAACCAAATGACTTAAGTTCAAACAATAATTCCACATAGAACAAAAGCATTTCTATTTTCTTAAAAAGCAGCGAAAACAGATTTTTACACTTATATTCTTACTTGCAAAGTTGCTTCTGACTTCGGTGAAGTCAAAAATATAAGATCAGGTGTCCGGAAAGGTAATCGATTACACCTGTTATGTAAATGTAGGTAAAATCCAAGTAATGTTATGTCCTTAAACTGAGAACTTTGGAAGTGACCATAAAACACATGTATGAGAAGGAAGCGGAGAGGAGAAAAGACTGATATATAAGGTGTTGAATCAGGTACAGCAGATCAATTTAGATCTCTTAAATGTCCCTTAATCAGAATTTCAGCGGGCTTTTAGTAGTTGCCTTTTACGTTCATGCAAAAAAAAACCCAGCAGGTTTAATCACCGAACCTGCAGGTTTTTTCTTGCAACATTATCTATAAAATGGAAGCAACACAATGCGTTCTGTTAAGATAAGAGGTTCCTTTTCCACATGTGAGAGCAATAGCTAAGTGGCATGTTGGTCAACATGACACATTTATCAGGAGATGGTTTGGTTTATTGAGTTCGGTGTCCTTCTTATATTTATCAAGAAATCCTGATACCAAAAAAGGGTTCTGGAATATGGATTAAATTCCTTAGTGTAAAATACGTAAAAAAAACAGAGGTTACTTGATGAAAGGTAATAATCGTAAATCAGAGTTTTCACAATCGTCATTGGGTTTAATGGTTAAGCGTCCATCATTGTCATACTTTAGATCAATGGTTCAATATGAAGCTGCAGGAGTGGAGTCTTTGGTATCTTGAATTTCAAGTTAAAGCAGGGTAACCGAATTGTACCAAGGACGAACCTTCATTAATAAATACGTGTAAATGTATTATAGCTTACACTATTTCCATACTTAATTTACTGTCTCTATTCTCATTATTTACTGAAAGGGTGTCATATATAGCTTTTACGACACGTTGCCATGTAATGTTGGCGCCTTCATAAACGACTGTGGGAAAGCTGTCTCCTTGTTATACTTATTACAGGTCATTTTCGACAAACAATAATGACCCTACTTCACAATATACAATACAACGGATGCGTTATCATTTGGTAACGCCTGCAGGGTTGGGGAAAGAATAAGCTTGGTATATCAACCTGCTTGATCGAGGGAGGGGACATGTCTTCTGTTTAGTCTAAGAAACCAAGAATAGACCTGGTGTTTGCTAACGCCTGTGTATTGTAAGAAGTGATAGATGATTTCTTCAGTGTCATCTACTTCTACTTAGATGACTAGGAAGAGACCAAAATGGATCTGCTGTCCCCACTGCAAACATTTGGTTTTCTATCTTCCTGTGGTGTCTCCCTAATACCTTGATCCTCATATGACCCTGGCTGTTGCAAAGACGTTTTATATACGAACAAACAAGCAAGCAATCCTCCAATGGTTTTTCCACTTTTTAATTTATATGCCCTTGCCATAAAAAAAGGGGGGGGGGCAGCATATAGTGTTGGCCATGGCTGTCCCGTCCCGTCAAACATGTATTTCCTCCACTTAAGGCGTATTTGTACAGTGTTGTTTTATATTAAAAGGCGTATACTGTTGACTCACCGTCAAACAAAAACAAATTTTAGCACTTTGTGAAAGCAGGAAAATTAGGATGTTTTCATTGAACGACATTAATATGATAGTTTCATGCGTTTGTCCCAGTTGTGCAGAGATTACCGTAGTTTTGGCTTCTCGTCGTGATTCAATGCAAAACTCTCTTGCAACTTCGTTTTTTTTCCGGACTTTGATCAAACGTCAAGCATGAATATACTTCTGATATCTCTTTGTGTAGGGTTCAAAGGTCAAGGCTAGGGTCAAAGGTGTTGTTTAAAGAAAGTCAATGTCATCACTCAACTTACTTCATTTCTTAACATATTTTGATCAAATTTTATACAAATTTTAGATATCAGAATACCTTTGTTGAGTTCAGATTTCAAAGGTCACTGCATGTTACTATCCGAAGAAACAAAGTCGTTGTAATATTTATAGAACATTATCAAACAATAAAACTAATTCCACATGGCGGCGCGGGCATTGATGTCTTGCAGACCTGTTCTAGTTTTTTTCGTAATGCTTAGTGGTTCAGCAACGTTGCGTGTCATTTAGAGCCAAATAACACAGTCAACATGGACGTCTACAAAAATACACTAAACTGAAACTAAAAGGTTTAAAGATGTAAAAAGACCTAAAAAATGAATTAGTTATAAAACATATCATAATGTATTGGAAACACCAATTGAGAACAATGTATCATGTTATTTGCACAGAAACTGTATCAAACTAGAACTGTCGTATATGGACTAACTAATACGCCCGCATTCCAGCTGCTTGTTGCCACTGTAGGGGCTAAATAAGCAAGGGCCATGAAAAAACCAAAATACCTATCGTTTTCGAGATATTAAGCCATTTCAGTAACGTAATGAACTGTCTACAGAGGGCCATAACACGGTAAATATTCAACGAACATAATGGGAACAAAATTGCATTC